GTAAATAAAAGACAGAAAGGGCTTTCTAATTAAAACATAAACATCTTCTCAGTCATTCATTCAAGTCAGAGTTAGTACAATTTTTTTCTATATTTTAGTAGGCGTAGAAGGGAATTTAAAAAGAGCTATGATTATAATACGAGCAAAACTAAAACTTCATTTAAGACTTTCTATAGCGTCTTAGGTATATCAAGTTTTTCGTTATTTGCGTGTTTATGTAGCTCTATTACACCCTATATAATGATCTAATGTGAAATAAAACAAAAAAAAAATAGTCAGAAGTCATCTTTTAACTATGCTGTAATACATGAAAATTGTACCATATTTCAGTACCTCATATTCCTAACTTTTTGAACACGTTGTATGACTTACTTTGCAAAGTGTAAGTAATCTTAAACAAACTATATACAAGTGTAACACAGGTTTTATGGAAAAAAATAAGAGTTACTTAATGGTGGTGAAGATAAATTTGAAAATACTAATTCTGCACTCCTTACCTTACCTTTGAATCCTTCTAACAGCTCACCCTTTAGAGCTGCTTACTTGAAATCAATAAGAAAGATCTGAGAAGTAGTGATGCCACGAGACAAGACGAGACGAGAGAGTGGCCTCTCTCGTCTCGTCTCGTAGGGCGAGAGAAAACTGTTCTCTCGTCTCGACGAGAAGGCGCTTCTCTCGATCGAGAGAGCCTTCCTCTCGTCTTGTCTCGTCTCGTCTCGTTTCTCTCGTGATAAAACAATATCAAATTTAAATTTGAAAAAGACGGAACATGAAAAAACGGTAAAATTTGTAAGACAAAAACAAATAATTTTTCAAGTAATTTGCGTATTAGTACTAGGGATGCGCAAATTTGTTCAAACATCGATGTGTCTGTAAACATCGATGTTTTACAAAAGCGTTCATTGAAGAGCAAAAAAAAACCGGAAAAAAAAAATTTAAACCATCAAATTAAACGTGACGCTTAACAAAAAACCAAGATACCTTGAAAAGAAAATCATCGATGTTAATGTAAAAATCGATGTTAGCAAATAACATCGGATTAAAAAACATCGATGTTGAACATCGATAATCGAAACCTAAAAATCGATGTTTTTTAAACATCGATACATCGTGCACATCCTTAATTAGTACCCAAATTTGGCAATAGGAAATACCTGTCTGTCCGTCTGTCACAGTCGTTTTACAATTGAAATTTGAAGTAATAAGTGACCCAGATTAGGCGTTAACTAAAAACGAAAATACTTTGTTTTGTAAGTCAGACGGGGAGGGGGGAAGAGGTTAAATTGGAAGTTAGATTTTTTCTAATGCAATCATGCGATGTCAAAAGAAAGCATTTTGTAGTATGTTTTCAAAATGCAAGAAGATAGAGACATAAAACAAAAAAGATGTGAAATTAGAGAAACATGATATTTTTGTTGTAATGAAATGCACTTTACTTGAGACGTAAAACAGAGGGCGTTGCTATCTTTAAATTTTCTGATGGAAAGTAAAGTCATGTAATACCTCATTTGAAAGATATTTTGATTATATTTACTTCCAAGCAAACAGTTTTAATTTTGTTATTTTGTTTTGTTTTGTTTTTACAAAAATTACATTCTTGATAATCCTTGTGTGCCGCAATAATCCAAGAAATGTTAGATAATGTTAGAAGAGAATTTTTTAATAAGTTTTTTTTTGCTAAGAAATTATGAAAAATGTAATACGTCAAGTAGTTTTTAAATCACCTTTGATATTTTTAATTTATTTATTTTAGTAAATACAAGAAGCGTTTTCTTAATAATAAACAATAATTGTTAATACGAGAGTTATCAAGAATGTAATTTATTAGTAAAGGCCCAGAACATGTCTGTATAAGAACAAAGTACAAGCTACAAAAAATTGTCATTTGTGTAGTGTTCCCTCTAACAGTAAAAAATTGCTTAAAATTATAAAAGATACTGTACTAGCCAAAATGTTAATTATACTATTGTAGAAAACAGCATTTATAAGGTAATAAACCTCCGGTAATAATCCTTTGAGGTTGAAGCGGTTAATAAAAAAAGAATTTAACCTACTTTATGAATTTATTTAATGTAATTTCTGTAAAAATATAAAAACCTAAATCTGTTGTAAAAATATAGAAAATATCTTTTAAATGAGGTATCACATAACCCTACTTTCCATAAGAAAATTTAAAGCTAGTAACTGCCTCTATCTTACGTGTCTCAAGTAAAGTGCATCTCGTTATAACAAAAAGTTTTACCTCGTTTTTGTTTTGTTATATTTTTTCATTTAGAAGTTAAAATAGAGGAGGGTACAATTTTCGTCCCCACTGTATATAATACATTCGTGTGTATTATCCTTTCTTTGACAGTCTTTCGAAAAAACGCTTAAAAATTTTCAATTTATCTTCAAAAGTAACCTCACCAAAGCAGAATGGATTAAATATAAGAAATGATTGTATAAATATTAAATAAATGAAATGAGAAATATTTTTTCCTATAAATAACTATTTATAAAATCCTAATAACACAAGTATTATTTGTTACCATTTAATATTTATAGAATAGGTGTGTTGTGGTTAACTTTTTGACTATCTCGAAATCTAATATGTTAAAATTTTAAGTTACGATAAGCAATTGAAAATTTCAAATAAGCAAAGAGAAAATTGTTCGAGAGAGCACGAGAGAGTTCGAGAGAAACGAGAAATTCTCGTCGAGAGATGACACTCTCTCGTCTCGTCTCGAATCTTTTTTCGAGAGAAAATGTCTCTCTCGTCTCGTTCGAGACGAGACAAGACGAGACGAGAGACGAGAATCTCTTGTCTCGCGGCACCACTACTGAGAAGTAACATACTAAAATTTGTACAAATTCTGCCACTACCCAAAATCAATGTAAATAGTGTGGGGTTCTTTATGAATAGCTAGTTGGGCATGTTAGCCATACAGTATATTAAGTTTAATACATTTACGCCAGACAACCGATATAGAATACGATGCCATTGCTTAGACCTTAGACAGAGGTAGATCAGTGCGCGCAAGCCCACTGTTGAAGAAATGTATCGATCTGTCCAATCACGGCAGATAGGCAGGCAGATGGGCAGGTAGATAGGCAGGCAGATAGGCAGGCAGATAGGTAGGCAGACAAGCAGGCAGACAAGCAGGCAGACAAGCAGGCAGACAAGCAGGCAGACAAGCAGGCAGACAAGCAGTCGATTCAGGAGAGCCTCTTCTTATTTTGCTGAAATGCAAATGCAATTGTCTCCTTTTTATTTTGAATCTTTAATGAAAAATAATTTAAAAATTAGTAATTTGATAATCAATTAACATCGGATAAAAGAGTTTTAAACAACTTGATATTATTCATATCTTTTATGACAAACTGTCTCTATATTTTCAACGCTCCATAAAACCGAAATATTTGTTTATCTAGTAACAAAGCATATTTTAACGTAGTACGACCTATTTAGTACCCAAGTCGATAAAAATAATGTAAAACATTTGTCGTAAACATGAAATTGACTCACGAAGTAAGATTGTTTGTCACAATTTTATGTTGGTTCACGTTTTAATCTTTTAACAGTTATTAATTTTAATTAGAGTACCTATGTTTTTGTACTTATTTTATTAATCAACCACTAGTATGCTGACAAACAACCAATCTATGTGAATAGAGAATGTGGACTGGGAATGAGGAATGGGGAATGAGGAATGGGGAATGAGGAATGAGGAATGGGGAATGAGGAATGGGGAATGAGGAATGGGGAATGAGGAATGGGGAATGGGGAATGGGGAATGGGGAATGGGGAATGGGGAATGGGGAATGGGTAATGGGTAATGGGTAATGGGTAATGGGTAATGGGTAATGGGGAATGGGGAATGGGGAATGGGGAATGGGGAATGGGGAATGGGGAATGGGGAATGGGGAATGGGGAATGGGGAATGGGGAATGGGGAATGGGGAATGGGGAATGGGGAATGGGGAATGGGGAATGGGGAATGGGGAATGGGGAATGGGGAATGGGGAATGGGGAATGGGGAATGGGGAATGGGGAATGGGGAATGGGGAATGGGGAATGGGGAATGGGGAATGGGGAATGGGGAATGGGGAATGGGGAATGGGGAATGGGGAATGGGGAATGGGGAATGGGGAATGGGGAATGGGGAATGGGGAATGGGGAATGGGGAATGGGGAATGGGGAATGGGGAATGGGGAATGGGGAATGGGGAATGGGGAATGCAGAATGGGGAATCGGGACTGAAAAATAAGGAATGGGGAATCGGGACTGAAAAATAAGGAATGGGAAATCCTGCCAATACATTAAATAAAATTTTATATAAATGAATAAAAAAAAATCTGGGCCAACGGTAGAATTCGAGCTTTAAACTCATATAGCTTTTAACCACTGAGCTACCCATCCATTGCAAAAAGTTAAAAAAAAAATTAAATAACGAAATGTTATATACTTATCGATAGCATTTTTAGTGGGAATATTTAATTTACAAAACATGCAAAAGATTTACAAAACATGCAAAAGTGACGTAAGGTCGAATAAAAAATGCTTTTGAATAAAGTCATCAGAAATTGCCACTACGGTCCTGCTAATGTTGGTAACGCGAGTGGATTAATTAATTATTTGATTCATATTAAACGAATTTATGAGTTGAAAAAATAATTTTTAGGTTTACTATTTTTTAACAGGTTAATTTAAGATCAGCAGTAAAAACAATGGCGTCGCATATGGCTATAATATCTGATAAACTAGTTTCTAACTCACTTAAGACTTTGGGAATATTTGTTTTATGTATACGATATAAAATTCCAAAAAATTATAATTTTTAAATTTAATCCGCAACTTAAAATTTGTACTAGACCATTGGCGGTTAGAATATGGAAAATGTATTAAAATCTTTTACTTTGAATGCCTACAATGTAATTATATCTTCGAAAAAAGCTCAAAAAATTAGGTTTAGTCTTAGTTATAGTTTTAAATCGATTCATATATATTAATATCTTACCTACCTGAGGTATTAATGTAAGACCCACTGTAATACCCGCAATGAGGTCACCTGCTGCCCAGGATAGATTATAATTTGGTAACCAGTTTAGAATTGGCAACCTTCGATAAAGCATTTTCTTCGTACATCCTTTCCTAATCCTGTTCTTCGTCCAAGGCAAAATTTGTTTAAGTGTATAAATAAAGGAAGACTTGTGAGAGTCTTCATGTAATACTAAAAATATAAAATAATAATTTGCACCATACTGCATGCATGAATAAAATGTCAAAGATAGTACAGACACAAATATATTATCTGAAATTAAAAGTTTACGCGTTAATTTTGCAGCGTAGTGTGAAATGCATTATTGTTTATATATTCCATATTCGCTAAGCATTTTTAAATAGTTTCCTTCGTGTAAATTTTTCTTGGGTATAGTACAAAACTATAAGGAGCAACAGAAAGAAGAATATGCATATAACGCGAGAATAAAATAGAGAAACCAAAAGAAGGCGTTGGCACGCAAACAGAATGGGATTAAAGCTATGGCTTGTTAGACGCATATGACGTTACACATTGCGATTTTAGGCCAATGGGCAACCGGTCCGTGAGCAGTCACTGCGATAGACAGACGCATGAGGATCGCAAGTTATCAAAGTTTAATTCCCTGTGCAAGTGAGTCATCTCGGCTACTAAAATGGCTGTTGGGGATCATCAGCCCCGTTTCACGCCTTTAGAGGAAGATGATTTGGTAAAGCATGTTTTAGAAAATGAAAGTTTGTGGAAATTAAGCCACCCGGATTACAAAAATACAGTGAAAATAGATGTAAAAAGGAAGACGATTAAACGTTTAGTTAAAGACTAGGCAGCTAATAAGTCCACCTCGCCCTATATGTTCTGCACCTCAACTAACATCATTGTCATCGCCATAGCTTTCTTCTTCACGTTCATCAAAGTTTATACCGTAACTGTATTGTTCCGCATGCGTCATTACCGTTTAGGACACCACTATTTCGCTACCATATTAAGTTACTACTTAGACATTGCGAATGTTGCTACGCATGCGTAACTTCATACGCGTCTAACAAACCATAGCTTTAAGGCGTGCTCGTTTTTAATAAAGCTACCACAGTTCCTTTTGTTAATTGACAAGACCCAAGAAAAAAGATATATCTTATAATATAAGAACCTAAATACGTTTTAAATTACCTAAAAAATGGTTGCTACTGTTTTTATCTCCAGCCATTGAAATAGTGACGGCAGATCCAGTAAAACTGGGATTATCGTAAGCCGTGTCATTATTCCGCTGAGTAAATCGATCAGTGTTTTCATTTTTCCTGAAAAAAAGAAAAGAAATTTATTTTTAAAAATAATCGACAAGTGTCAAAATAGATCACTATTTGCATTTTAAAAACCATTAATAGCTATTTTTGTATTAAGACAAGAAAGTTATACTTTGTCACTTTGCCATGTGGCGTATATGTATACGATTTTTTATACGATCACATTATTTTATGAAATAGATGTACCTAATTAAAAAAATCTTGATTATGGACATAATATAAAAAGTCGATGTTAAATAGATAATAAAATACAAACAGAGACTTTTAATTTTTCAACTGCTTCAAGTGAACGTAAACGCCGTCTTACACCGATGCGTCACAACCCATCTTTAGTAACTCCAAAAAAGAATTTAGCCACGTTTATTAAATATTGGAAAATTTAATTTTCTTGGAGCTGAGTAAAAATTGGTGCTCTATCTAGTGAAAAAGATTTTTGTTGCTTTAAATTGTTTTCAATGTTTAGATGACGTCTAAGAGTGGCTTTTAGCACTTCATAGTCTCACTACTTCGTAAATTTTCCTATTTTCTCACATAACCGTGTTAACGGCTGCTTCTAGTCTATCTCTATCAATTCCTCTATTCGTTTTTCTTTTATATTTACCCATCTATAAGAAATACATTTTGAAAGAATTAGATTTTTGATTATTTTTATGTATCCACGGGCAAGATGACGCGCGTCATCTTAGCATAGGATGATCGCGTCATCTTATTGTACTTGGAATCTAGTAAAAATTTTATAGTTTACAGACATTTCCGAACACATATCTAAACAAAATCTATGACAAAATATCACAATCACAGGTACTTTAGGTATGTATATAATTATTACAAATACGAATAGAAAAAAACTTAAAGAAGTTACCTTCTTTATAGCAGGTCACAAATATTACATCAAAACAGACGTGTTTACTCTTGGGCTTCTCTATAGGTACTAACCTTAAAAATGGTGCATGCGCCAATTGGCAATAACGGTTGGTGGTGAAATGAAGGCGGGAAATTTAAATTTGAAATTTCTACTACTATAGTTAACGAGCATTAGAGGTGCGTCATCTTGCCAACTGCGTCTTCTTCAACTAATCTCCCCTATAATATCATACATCAATATATTTTAAAACTTTCTTTGATTACGTTCACAATCTTTATCCCTTCTCAACAATGATATCTTCAGATGCTCCATGCAGTATATATTGTGCAATATTAATTTAACAAACATTTTTTATTACTTTTATTCTACTTGTTAAAAATAGACTGCGTCCTACTTTCCTTTTAACCACTTCCGATACATAAATAGACTATGAAATAAGAGCGAATTTGAAACGATTTTCTAATTAAATAAAGAAATCTCATTCCAAGTGTGGTGTGACTCGTACTATTATTGATTTGTACCTCTGTGACCACCGAGGTCAAATAGATTGAGAAGGTATCATATAAGGGATAATGAAAGTTACTTTTTCGACATGATTAGGAAGATAATAAAGACAAATAGCTTGCAACCAGTAGCGATTTGTGACCAAAAAAATTGGAGGTTCACAATGACAAAATATAGTTCTCAGAACATATTTAGGTAAAAAACTTACAGTGTTTTATAAAGGTTTATTATAAACACATATTATTGAGATCCATATTCTGTCATTGTGAACCCCCAATTTTTTGGTAACCAGCCGGCACTGCTTGCAAAAAAGGTAAGGAAAAAAACGATCTCAACACTGTGGTCATGTGAAATAATAATACATACAGATCGTTTGTCAACTGACGAATTAAGATGCGCCGTGAATAGCCCATTTCTCTCAGTTTTGAAGTGATCGGTTCGGTAGTACATTCGGCCCGCTTATTTTACCTAAGACGTTTGGTGTTGTTTCCGAGTGACACAATACATATTTAATCGGGATTCGGGAAGTCGCTCTGGCGCTAGGTATTTAGGCAAATGTAATATACTCTTATGTATGTAATATTTTATAATAATAGTAATAATAATCTTTATTCACACACAAATAATTACAAGTAGCTGCAAATTATACTTAGTAAAAACAATTCAATGTATAATGTCTGAATTAGGGTTTCCACCTTTTTGAAAAGTGAATAAAGGACATTTAAAAAAATCTTAAGTATCTTTATGAATGCGAATAGGGTGGTCGCGCAGAGCATCATGATAAACTGCTAAAAATGCTCCGCATGCTTTTTTTTTTCACTTTTTAACAATAATATCTTAATTAGGTTAGTTATATCATAAATAAATAAACAACATAAACATAATTAAAAAAGAATATTAAAAACTAAAATATGCTTTAAGGTATGGTTGCGCTTGTACTTGCGCTGCATGCAGCGGTCGGCACGTCAAACGCATGGGCTGATGACTGCTTGAATCAAAATTATAAACAAGCGGACGCACAAACGGAACCATATCTCTAGGCATTATTAAATTTAAGAGGTCCGTGAAGTTGCCCCCCCAAATGATATTAAAAAAAAAAAACTATTGCACCAAAATGAACTAGTGATGCACCAATATGCACCACTAATTATTTTTTTGCACCACCTTCCTCGAGAAATTACAGCCATCTCTTTGGGGGGGGGGGGGGGGGGGGCAAATGAACGCTAGCCCCCCCCAAGGAAAATTTTAAGTTTTACTGTAATGCACCAGTTAGTACTTGTCATGCACTCATATGCACCACCAATTAAACTTTTTGCACCCCCTCCCTTAAGTAGTTATACCTGTTTCTTTACCGTGAAGTTGCTCCCCCCAATGATTTTTCACTAAAAAAAATATTGCACTGGTATGAACTCCTGATGCACTCATATGCATCACCAATTAAACTTTTTGCACCCCCTCCCTTTAGAAGTTATAGCTGCTTCTTTACCGTGAATTTGCCCCCCCCCCCCCAATTATTTTTTCACAAAACAAAATATTGCACCGTTATGCACTGCTGATGCACTCATATGCACCACCAATTAAACTTTTTTCACTCCCTCCCTTTAGTAGTTACAGCGATTTATTTACCGTGAGGTTAGCCCTCCCTATGATATTTTCGAAAAAAAAAAAAAAAAAAATTGTATCGTTATGTTTTGTTGATGCACTTGTATGCTTGCAAAGGTTTTCGTTTTTTTCATATATTTACCTTAAAATGTAGAAAGTGCCCAAAACCCTTCAAATGCGTTAAAACTGGGACATATTTACGTAAAGTGTAATCGATAGAAATTCCCAAGAATGTTCACTATTGGAGATGAAATCTTCAAGGGTATACGTGTTTATATTAACACTATTAAGACGAACAAGACACAAGAAATTAAGCACATTTTTGAGGGAATAAATCATTGTAATTATTGCTAGAAAAATAGTCTTCATCGTCTGCTAATTGCTTTGTCGCTTATACCTATATTTTTTATTATTTCTTTATTAAACACAATTAGATTAATTATTATGATCTTCCTACTATAAACACAGTTTTAGTGTTTTATTTAAAGGTAGTTTACAATTAATTGTTTTTCTACTACCGTGTGTAAAGTTGTACTTTTTTCACTAGTTCTTAAAGTGAAAAAAAGTTATTTTAGTGAAAAAAGTAACTTTTATATTTTTAATATTAGTGGATAAAGTGTACGTTAGTAGAAAAATATTGTATGCAATTCGTGTGTAAAGTCCTTTTTTTGATTAATGTGATTGTCGCACTCGCCTACGGCTCGTGCCCACATTATTCACATTCGTCAAAAAAGAGTAACTTTACACACTTGTTGCATAAATGGCTATTTTATCGAGAAATTTCCTTAAATTATTATTTTATTAATTTGCAATATGGCTTTGAATTTTCAATTTTTTAAATTGTTACTTGAATAAAAGTCACAATATATCGATATATCTTACTGATGGTTGCCACCTGTCCTTTTTTTGAAGCAAAATGTCCTTGCTACTTTTTAAAGCTTAAAATGTCCTTTTTACGGCAAGTGTTTTTTTTTTTAAATACTTCATTTTACATTGACTTACATAGAAAATGAACGGCAGTGACGTTCGACCTGCCAACCACGTCAATTTGGCGAACTTTATAAAAGGAGGACGAAAATTTAAAATTTGACTATTGCCGATTCGCTTCCTTCTCTCTAGTCTTCATAATTAAAATATATCAATAGCTCTGAGAGAATAAGTTCTGTGGAGAACCGATTTCTTTCGAAGTGCCATTTGGTAGCCAAAAAAATCACTCAGAAAATGCTGAACTAGCGCACGTTCTCTAAATATAAATAAAATAAACGAAATAACATTTGAAATATTTTTTAAGTGTTTTAAAACAACTTGCCATTATTTTGATATGCTTAAACTTAAAAAAAAAATGATTTTCACTTTCAATCTCTTAATAATAGTATGAAATGTGCAACACCTCAACTAATTTTTAAGTCGTTTATTTTGAAAGTGGCCTAAGTCCATTTATACTTAAATTGAGATATCTAAAGGTTTGTGTAAATTTTGTTTATCTGCATTAATTAAACGTACTAATTATTCAACTAATGCAATTGTCCAAAAACTGAAGTTAACTTGTTAAATACTAATTAATTAAAATTACCTTCATCACTGCCTTCGGACATTATCGATAATGAAGGTCTGTTCCAACAACGATCTGAAACCAGTCACTGACACCAGGATTCTGCGTAGTTGATTATTTCGATCGCCAAATTATATACTACGCAGAATACTAGTATCAGTGACTGGTTTCTGATCGTTGTTGGACAGACCTTGAATATCTTAAGTATAAAATGGACTTAAGACACTTTCAAAATAAACGGTTCTTATAATCTTTAAACAATAGCCGCAAAAATTTGTTTGCTTTTGTTTGTAATCTTGAACAAACATAACCCAACTTTTTGTGACTGCTGCACATACAGTGTGGAGCAGCCAAATGATAAATTCGGTTATAAATAAATGGGGGCGTGTTCGGAAAAACGCTTGGACACGTCGATTGGTATTTTCAGTAGCACATTTTGTTTAACAAAAACTTTTTATTATGTAACAGTGG